ATTATTAGTGTAGTGTTTGAGTCAACTAAATTATCTTAGACTTAACTCAGGGATTCTAAAGACAGGTAACTTCATGACTCTTAACAAATACATCATCTAAAAACCAAGAAGAGTCAACACACGGCTATGTTATAATTAAAGGTGTTTGTCATGACACAATCACAAGATCTTTCAACCTCCCGTTACTTGTGTTAATCACCAGGTCAAGCCCACACCCTAACATTTAGACTCTCAAAGTGCACTCCAAATCAAATTCTAGACTCACCTTGATTCTTCAGGAGTGAACCCCCTGATAAAAGGAAAGATGGCCATTTTAAAGCAGACATTGATACTGAATCTGATTTAGGTCTCTGACTCTACAATCCTCTGTATGTGAATAGAAAGTTTTGTTCCTCAGAGACAGGTGATTGGTTCTACTAAGACCCTGAAAAATGCACTTCCTAACATGGCAGCCACATGTGCCTATGGAGCATTGATACATGGCTACCCATAATTAAAATAAGAGTAAAATACACATCAGACATAGAAAACTTAGTGCCAAAAAAAAAGTAAAATATCTCATTCTTAAAATAATGAGTACGTGTTAAAGTGATAATGTTTTTAAAATATTTGCTTAAATACAATATATTATTAAAATTAATTTCATATGTTTCTGAGTTCATGACTGTGAACACTAGATGATTATAAATTATGTAGTAACTTGCACTACGTTTCTATGGGGCGGTGCTGCTGTAAGAAAAATGACTGGCAGATTCTGCCGTTTTCTTAAAGACAGAGAACTAAAGTCTTCAAGTTGGTGGTCTGGGGAGTCCACTCCTTGCCAGACAAACCTTAGGGTGAGAAGGAAGGGCCCTTCAGGGTAGGTCCATGACCTCATTAGAACCTTTGACTGCACAAAAAAGGGAGGCTTACTACTTGTGTAGTCAGGAAATTTGGGTCAACTGGAAAATGTTTCAGGATTGAGACTGCATTTCCCAACTTCATGGTAGTCTCATAACCAGTCGTTTTTGTGGGTTGATCCTTGGGAAGCACTCTGAGGCAGAGGTTAGCATACCGGAAGATGGTTGGCAAATGCTCTTAAAATTAACACCGTAGGGTAAGGAAGGAAACAAGATTAGGAAGAGGGAGCTATTCAACTTCCTCAGCGCGCACAATGAGGGTCTCTGAAGTTGGGATGGTGCTTCAGAATTGTTGCAAGCTCAAACAGAGGCACTGGAATGCCATGAAACGAAATGTCACACACTTGAATCAGCCAGTAATCATGTACAGGTTGCCGCCCCTGGAAGGGAGTGTGATTTGGGGTGAGAGGCTTTTCTCAGCCAAGGGCTAATCTCAGAGAGGCTTAAGAGCTGAGTGCTGTGGGCAGGGATGGTGGGAATAGATCCTTCAGCCCTGAAGGAGAAACTGGGCAGCACAGCCACGTCTACTACAGTTCACTCCTTGCTCTGCTTGCTCTACTTCTTTATGTAAGCTTGGGACAGCATCACCAAAGATTCTGGTGGCTTCTTGGGGAAAATTACAGACTTCACCTCTGTAGCTGGTCTCAAGGCCACACCTGATACTCAGGCTCTATGTTCTATTTGCTCCAGATTCCCCTCATGCTCAAATATCACCTCGACTCTTCTAGATGCATCATCTAGTGGTATGAGACCCTGGGCACTATACTTTCCTCAGGCTGTGGCTGCTGCACGTGTCTTACAAACACAGTTGGTCAAGATATTCCAAAAGTGGATTGCCTGAGTGCCCAGCATAGGCTGCTGTCTTAGTTTGTTCAGGAATACTATAGCAAAACTACCATAGACTGGGTGGACTAAAAAAACAAGCATGTATTTCTCACAGTTCAGAAGGTTGGGAAGTCCAAGATCTAGGTGCCAGTGGATTTGGAATGTTGTTAAAATCCCCCTCTTGATTCACAGATGTATGTCTTCTCACTGTGTCCTCACATGGTGGAGGGGTAAGGGAGCTCTCTTGGGTCCCTTTTATATGGGCACTCATCTCATTCATGAAAGCCTCACCCTCATGACCTAATTATCTTCTTAAAGGCCTCACCTCCAAATATCACCACATTGGGAGTTAGGATTTCAACATGCGAATTTTGGGGGGGACACATTGCAGTCTCCCTGTGGTGGCAGTTCTACCTCCTAAGATGGAGGATCAGGAACAATCAAGGTTCATTATTTCTATCAGAAAGATAATTTCTTTTTTCTTGTCTTCTGATCCCTCATCATAAGAGATTCAAAGTGCCCAGGCCGCTCGCTACCATAGCTTCAAAGTTCACTGAGACTGATGACATGCCCATGCAGAAAGTCCTTCCTCAGGGAACCATGATCTTCAAACCCACAGAGCCCAGAGTTACAGGAACAGGAGGCGAAATTCCTCACATGAGTCATTGGGAATGTTGGCAGCTGGGACCACCCCTCCTTCTGCTCTTTGGCTCCTCGCTTACATATTCTAGTTATTGGGGATTCAGAGCCATACGATGCCCATTAATGTAGGGCATAGGCTGTGTCCTGGAGGATGTCATCCCATTCTCACAAGGGAACATGCCTGAGCTACACCTCCAATGTGCTTTAACAGGCTGTTTCATCACTCAGTCAGGCTGGCTGATAGGACCAGTGGATCTCAGCATTATGTACCCGCTGATAAACCTGCTTTACTTTACAGTGGGTCCCTTGGGCTGATATGATGACATGTGAAATAACTACTGTTGAATGTGACGCTCTATAAGATCACAGAAAGTCATGTTAGCTGAGACCTTGTGGGCAGGAAAAGCAAACCCCTGTTCAGAATATATATCTGTTACTGTTAAGATAAACCACTGGCCTTTCCAAAATAAAAGGAGTACACACTGTGGTCCACTTGTCATCAAGTGGCTAGCTGGTCTCCTGAAGGAATAATTGTAACATTGGGGTCTAAGATTTAGTATTTGTTTTTGGTAGTTTGATACTTAGCAGCACCAGGAGCTATGCCAGCTTTAATGAGTGAGAGTTCATACTGTTGACCTGATGTACAGCCTCCATCCCTAACAGCAAAGCTACTCATGAGAGAAGCTGGCTAATATCAACTGGCTGAGTCATTCTATTTGGTTGTTTAGGCATCTCTCAGGGTACATGCTTTTTGACAGGTGTGACAATGTGATTCAAAGATCTTCACACATTGTGCCTACTCCCAAAGCTCCATCTATGTGCCACTACTCCAGATATCTTTGTCTGCGATCTTCTAATTTCTCTCCCTCTAGGCCCCTGACTATCTCTCCAGGTTATTCATCACCACCCATGAATCTGTATATATTGAAACCTGAGGCTACATCTCTTTCTATATAAACTAGATGACCACGTACACTGCCTGAAGCTCTGTCCACTGAGATGATTTCCCCTTAGAGCTGTCTCTGAAAGCCACCGTGAGTGATAGAAGAGGCCAAGCTTCATCAACCAATCATTGGAGAAAAACTGACCCCAGAAAAGGATTGTGACATTGACAGAGACAGCTATCCTCACCGACTGCTAATCCCCAGAGAGAGCTGACCATTGAGAATGTTGTCAGCAGCACTCTAAGCATCTGAGGGAATATGTCTTTTGAGACTGAAAAAGGACTTAGGCATCATTCACTATAGTCTATTTTACCTTTGGATACTCTAAGGATATGAGTCAGTATTGCATTATTATCTTAAAAAGCTCAAGTTGAGGATGAACATGGGAATCTACTGTAGTGAAAAATTGGGAGATGGAAGAATATTTTGCACACTGTAAATTATTTGCATCCCTATTCATTTTTCTTTGATTATAAACATATTTTTGGTTTTCTCTGAGTACATCAGATAGGTGTGACCTCCTAGCACCAAATAATGGAGAGAAGCATAAAGAGTTGTGGCTAAAAGCAGGTATGGGGTAAAGTAGGCAGGTCAAGCACAGAAGCAGCAGAAAGGGACATTGTGGCATGTGTGGAGGCTTTAGAGTGGATGTACCATTGCAATTGAATCTTATGCTTAATGTGGACACAGTGACAGGTCTTTGGATCATCTGTGTTCAGACTCCTGCATGGTGTGAAAGCCTCATGTAGATCCATGAGGTCTCTTGGATTCCTGAGTGGCCAATTAGTAAGTCCCGCCTTCAGTGAGCTAAATAGTTATGCAACAGCCTGGATGAGTTACTGCAGCTGCAGAAGTGTTTCTATTACTAACTTCCTGTGATTGATTTATGCAGTGAATGAATCAGGCTGGCTTGTATCAGAGTCCCAATCAAAATAGAAATTATAACTTGTTTTACAAACCAAGTGTTCTAGAGTTTGAGCAACTGACATTATTTTGCATGCATTTATATTAATTTCCTGAGTTTTACTGCTCATTTTAAAGAAGGGGATTATTACTGTATCATCTTTTAGCAAAACAGCTTAGCAGACAAAGTTACTGAAGCTGAATATTGTTTCATCAGAGTCATTACATTTCTTTTGATACCACAGTATGCGCAAAAGATATCACTATCCTTTCAGGAAATCTTTGTTCAGTAGGTTCTTTATATGAATAACACTAATGATTCTTCAAAGCTCCTTTAGTCTCAACTATTCAATACCCGTTTTACTCTAAAGCAAAAGTTTTGGTAAAGGACACAACAAACCCTAACCAGCATATTAGTAATAAAATTATCAGGAGGGCTTTATTTAAAGTATAAAGGCAATAAGTCTAAAATAACACGATTAAGGATAGGTAGTGCTTTTTCTCTGTAATGGGCATTCTAATTTTAGTATTACTGATAGTACCATTCTTAAGAAATAAGAAGAGTATTTTAAAAGTATTAAAATGTACCATTTTCTTTGTATAGTATTTAAAATCTCTGTCATACAAATTCTAGTTATGAAAACAATTCTAAATTAAAGTAGTTTCTACTCTAAAAGCAAAGCCACAAATGGCCTTTTTAATCTCGTTAACATTGTATCCCACTGATCAAGCAAGAATGGATTTCCATTAACAACACACTGTCCTTCAGGAAATGCCCACAACTTACATTGAACTGGGAAAACATTGAAACTGCTGTGACACAGCATATAACTGTTCCCTTCAGTTTTCTTGGAAGTATCTTTCGTTGATAATAGGCAATTGTGTGGTCCTCCTGGGGAAAAAGCTGAGTTAGTGGAAAAATGATGAATGGAGAAGACCTCAGTAAGAACTTGAACCAATACTCCTCTATGACGCCTACATTCTTACTATTTGTAAGCATTGTATGATCCGTGAAACACACTTTATAGTTAAAAAAAAATACCAAAATAAAAAACCACAAAGAGAATATAAACATTTATTTCATCCCAGGGTGATGAAAACTGTAAATAAGATTACACACATGAGTGGATACTCTATGTAATATGATATATTAAATATATAACTGTAAATTTAATGAATGAAATTAGTATACACATATCATTGGGCAATATTTTTTTGACTATCTTGTTACATGCAAAGTACCTAAAGGTACTGGGAACACTGCAATAAATAAGATTTATAAACTGAGTCAGTGTCCTCACAGAGCTTGCATTCTAATGTGAATGTAAAGGACTTACATTGCATATGGAGTGTTTCTCAATGTAGAGGGAGGGATATTGCCTCAAAGGCACATCAGAATCATGATGTCATTGCAAATCTAACATATACCTTTAAGGAAAGCATGGGACTCCAGTTAAGTATCTCAGTAACACTAAGTTAGTTAGGGAGGGGAGGATTTTTCAGATGTAGCAAGGCAGAAAAATATGTTGAGTATCACTCAAATATAGTATAAAAATTGATATGACAGAGGATTTAAGAAAGTACATAAGAGGCACTTAGATCAGCTTTGATCACCAAAAAAACGCATCTCAGAAGGAATGATATCGAAGATCATCTATGAAAGATAAAGATAAGTAGAATCGGTTAGTTGAAAGCGGGCATGAGAAGAGGAAGATGTCCAGAGTATTCCAGGCAGAACTTACTGTTTTAAGTGTGAAGTGCTTAAAGTGAGAAACAGCATATTATAGGAATTGAAAATAGTTCACAATAGTCAGACTATTGAGACCAAAGGTATTTTGATTGGAGAGAAATGAAGTTAATAAAGGAAAAATAAAAGATAGAGACATGAAGGAATCATAAATCATCCTATCTAGCTTTTACTTTAGAGCCCTGGGAAATCATTGATTGATATTAAACAAGAAAATGACATGATCAGATTTGAATTTTACTTTTTTTTATTTATTAAATTATTTGGGGTGACACTGGTTAGTAAAATTATTAGGATTCACGTGTACATTTCTATAATACATCATCTATATATCACATTGTGTGTTCACCACCCAGAGTCAGTTCTCCTTCCATCACCATATATTTGACTCTCTTCCCTCTTCTACCATCCCCCTTTTCCCCTTTACCCTCTGGTAACCACTAAACTGTTGTCTGTGTCTATGAGTTTTTGTTTCTTTGCCTTGTTTATTTGTTTCTTTCAGTTTTATATCCCATATATGAGTGAAATCATATGGTTCTTGACTTTTTTTGTCTGATTTATTTCGCTTAGCATAATAATCTCAATAATCTCATGTTGCCGCATATGGCAGTATTTCATCTTTTCTTATGGCAGAGTAGTATTCCATTGTGTATTTACGAGTATACCACATCTTCATTATCCAGTCATCTATCAAAGGACACTTTGGTTGTTTCCATGTCTTGGCCACAGTAAATAATGCTGCAATGAACATCAGAGTACATATATCTTTACAGATAAAAGTTTTCAGAGTTTTTGAGTAGATTCTCAGGAGAGGCATTGCTGGGTCATATGGTAATTTTATTCTTAATTTTTTGAGGAGCCTTGATACTGTTTTCCATAGCAGCTGTACCAATTTATATTCTTACCAACAGTAAATGAGGGTCCCTTTTTATCCATAGCCTCTTCAACGCTTATTATTTGTCTTGTTGATGACAGCCACTCTAACAGGCATGAAGTGATAACTCATTATGGTTTTGATTTGCATTTCCCTCATACCTAGTAAAGTTGAACATCTTTTCATATATCTTTTGGCCGTTTGTATGTCTTTTTGGAATAAGTGTCTGTTCAGATCTTCTGCCGATTTTTAATTGGATTGTTTGTTGTTTTTGTTGTTGTTGTTGAATTGTATGAGTTCTTTATATGTTTTGGATATTAGCCCCTTATTGGAGGTGTTGTTTATAAATATTTTCTCCCATTCAGTTGGTTGCCTCTTTGTTTTGTTGATGGTTTTTTTTTTTTTTGCTGTGCAGAGCTTTTAAGTTTGATATAGTCCCACTTACTTATTTTTGCTTTTACTTCTCTTGCCTTTGAGGTTAAATTCATAAAATCCTCTTTGAACCCAAGGTCCATGAGTTTAGTACCTATGCTTTGTTCTATGCAGTTTATTGTTTCAGGTCTTATGTTTAGGTCTTTGATCCATTTTGAGTTAATTTTAGTATATGGTGACAGATAGCTGTCTAGTTTCATTGTTTTGTATATGGCTTTCCAATTTTCTCAGCACCATTTATTGAAGAGGCTTTCTTTTCTCCATTGTATGTTTTTGGCTCCTTGGTCAAAAATTTCATATATATACATGTATATATATATATGTTTATTTTTGGATTTTCAATTCTATTTCATTGGTCTGTGTTGTTTTTTTTTTAATTATGTCAGTACATGCTTTTTCAATATTGTTTCTTTGTAGTATAATTTGAAGTCAGGGAGTGTGATACCACCAGGCTCGTTCTTTTTTCTTAGGATTGCCTTGGCTATTTGGGGTCTTTTGTGATTCCATACAAATCTGAAGATTTTTTTTGTTGTTCTGTTTCTTCAAAAACGGGATTTTGATGGGGATTGCATTAAATCCATATATTGCTTTGGGTAATGTGGCCATTTTAGCTATGTTGATTCTTCCAATCTATGAACATAAAATGTATTTCCATTTTTTTGTGTCTTCTTCAATGTTTTAGAAGAATTTTACAATGATCACTTGTACTACATTATGGAAAATGGGTAGGAGCATGGAGGTATTTTATAATGAGGCTATAAGAAATGACGACAGCATGGTATGTGTAATGCCAACAAGGAGGAGGAGTAGGGGCTGCTTTATCTACTGATGAAATTGACATGACTTTGTGGTTGCTGGAATGGGTCCAGTGGGATGAGAAAAAGTAAAGAATGGGCCCTACCCTAGAAGAACCTAGTTTGAGCATCTGGGAGTCTGGGGTGACACTCAATGAGATAGGGAATACTTATGGAGAAGCAAATGTAGAGGGGGAGGCAGCAAGGGATGCATTTGATTTAGACCTGTGGAACATGAGATACCTGTGAGATGACCAATGGAGAGCTGAGGAAGCAGATGAATCTGAAGTTTAGGAAAAAAGAAACAGTTGCAAATAAAGATAGGGACATTGGAGTTAATTAATATACATAATAATAAAAGTCAGCTTAGTGGATGTAAAGAGAGAATGTAAAGAATGGGAAAAGCATTGAGTTTACTTAGGTTAGGACTCCCAAAGATACCAGTGTAGAAAGGGCAGAAGATACAGCAAAGAAATCTGAAATAAATCAACAACAACAACAACAAAAAAAGATTAAAAAAAAAAAGAAAAACAAAGCAGAAATAGTACAGGTCAGGTATTGCAAGGCAGGAGTATCATCACGCCCATTTGATAACACTTGTGGATAAGATCAGAAATTTCTATAAATTTATTTTCTAAATTAGCTGATCTATTGAACAATTAAAACAAAATGCAAAAGTCCTTTGTTTCTTAACTATAATTAACTTTCACAATATAAAAGATACTCTCCAACTATTAAAATTAAGAACAATTTATGAAACATTTATTATCTTTGACATACTTGACCAAAAGGAGAGTATATATAAACTCATGGGATTAAATCAATCACTCAAATATCCGCTAAGCAAGTCCCATGAAGGGAAAAATGATCTGAGTCATAAACAGTGAAGAAACTGAGTCACGAACAGTAAATCAACTTAGCATATGGGTGACTGAATTTAAGAAAAGCTTACAAGTATAGATTCTCTGCAAAAATATTGGAATATTCCTGCTTGATATTTCTGTGTCGCACACACACACACACACACACACACACACACACACACAGTACTAGACAAATTTTATTCAAACGTTAGGGGTTGTGTTTGGAATCATTTGACTTAAAATATACACTACATGGCAGAGAGCAAGATCAAGTGGGGAAAGGGCCTCTGAGCAGAGGCTGGCAGTCAGCCCTGGGGTAGATGCAGTCATGGATTGCTGACTGAGCTGCATCAAGCCAGCCATGCCCAATTCTGACAGCAGAGCTCTAGGTGAAGAAACACGAAGGATTGATGAATTTATTTATTAATGGTTAATGAATCGCCTGTGCAATGCAGAGCGGAACAGTAAGGACTGATAATTGAAAGTTATACTAGGCTGAAGTTATGTTCTGTGAAAAATGCAGTAAAAAGAAGATATGTGCTACCCTTCAAAAAATGATAAAAATGGGTATTAATGTTTAACTTTGGGTGGACTGTCCATTATTGCCCCTTAGAGCTGGAGAGAGGTTTTCCCTTCTCCACATATTGACTGAAGATTATTGGCATCCAAAGTTAATTTTGATCCACATTCTATTCAAATTTCTGGCTTTCTTCTCTTTAGGGAATATTTTCACTGACCCATTCAGCAGTACTTTTTGTTGCTGTTGTTTTTTTTAAAGATTTTTTTATTGGGGAATTGGGGGAAGGGGAACAGACAAGTTGCTGTCATTTTGTTCTTCAGTCTAGTTGTGGAGGACGTTGCTTCACTGGCCCAAGTTGGCATCATCATTACGCTCTTCCTGGGAGAGGCAGATCAGTCGTCAGCTTCTGGATGGCTGCTCACGGAGGCTGCTGGCCGCTCATGCTGGCTGCTGGCTACACATGGTAGCCCATGGCAACCCACTGCAGCAGGGGCTGCAGCCTATGCTGTCGCCGGGGACTCATGACAGCCCAGCTCCAGGTCTAGCTGTTGTTTAGCATCTTAGCTGTGGAGGGCAGTGTCACTGGCCCTCATATGTGGGATCCGAGCCGGGGCCTTCTGGTGTCCCAAGGCAGTTCT